ATTGACTTTTTTTAAAGTAGATAATATTCTGCTGAATGACGGTTTGGAGTACGTAGCGCGCTATAAATGATTCTTCTTCTATTCTTTTTTGTATAGACAGTAATTTCGACCGATTTGTTCGGAATTAAGATGTAAATGTTTATTATTCAAAATTATTTGAATTCTTATTTATTTTTGTATACAATAAGTGTTCTAAAATTGCATCGAAATCGTTTTTTAAGCGAGATATAAATTATCCCCAATCTTTGCGTGATAATTGCTTTATTTACAGGCGATACTTGTGATAATTATGGCTGACGTTTCGATTACTTATTTCTTTTATTATACACAAGAATTCTACTGCCTTTTAATTCCTTTTCCATCTTCCCAGAGTACATTAAACAATAAAAGTCGAAGAATTTTTAAATTGTTTCTAAATTTTTATTTTATATACAACTTGAACGAAGATGAATTGAGTCGCTCTGAAGCCAATGCGGTTAAGTCCAGAAAATAAACATTAAGAAAATTAATGTTATGGCTTCTGAAATGAATATACAACATATTCAGAAGTTATAAAAAGAAGAGGTTTCTCACCCCTTAAAAAACGAAGAAACAAGTAAATCCTTTAATAACTGAAAGGAACATTATTTATTCCATTAGAATTTACAATAATCAGAAAGTATCAAAAAATGGACTTAACCGCAATGGCTTCAGAGAGACTCAATTGATGGAAACAAAGAAATATTTGTTGTAATAAAATTCGCTTACCTTTACAGCTCGGTATGTCGATGGCGCTCTCATTCCACTTGCCATTCTTGCACTCGAGTATGCGTATCTTTTCGTTGCTGTCCGGAAACACGGTACCCAATTTGCAGAGGAACGTCCTCGATGTCAGGGTGCCATTCAATATGTAGCTTCCATTTGGTGTTGATATATCCGGACAGCCCAACACTGAAATATTAAACCATTTGTCATGTGAATACTCTTCCACAGATATACATATAAGTACACACGGTGCGCAGAAAGTTTATTTTTCCAGGTAAAATAACGCACGCAGAGCTCTTCGAAACACATCCCATTTAAATATTAATAGACTGCGGATGTTTATGCAGATGCAGAGATTTTCACCAACCAATTTATCGAAATTGAACTCCAGATAAAATGCCGTTGCGCTATTAGGTGTTCTATCACGTTTCAAGGAAGACGATGTTATTAAGTTTGATTAAACATTTCGCTATACTGAAATTTAATAAATCAACAATTTTATAAATGTGCAGAATCTGCACCTTACTTATTTAGTTTCTATGCAATTGAAAGAATTAGATCGACGTTTAGTAATATTGGTGACTTAATAAATTTTCAAAATGGAATGTATCAATTGTAATTTAATCTATATTTCGATTATTATTAATCTAGTTAAATCATATGCACGAGTTTTGCACAGTATTATAATACAATAGATACATTTTGAGAACGAACGTTATCACATTATCGACATCAGACTTTGATACTTTCATCGTGTAAACAGAAGATTAATAGTTTCTTATTAGTACAATAGAACTTAGATTGTGTAAATTAATTAAGATCAAGGCGATTCGAATAATCAAATGCATAGTTTGTTTAATAAAACGCTAAAACAAATAAAGAACAATGCATCACTGATTCAGATAATCAAGAGATGTTATGGTATTCAAAAATTCGATGTACACGTAATTCAGCTATGTGCAAATGAAGATTCCATTACTTGGAAAAATCTTCGCCCTCAAAGGGTTAAGAGACTGATGGGCAAGCTTTTTTAGGAGCGAGTCAAACAAAAAAGAAAAAAATCCCAGCCAATATAATTTATTATAAAACTGAATAAGGACTCAACAAAATATTATTTTAAAAATTCTTTAATGCTAATGCGACGAATGAAGCTGTGACTGCATTTCTAAAAGTTCCGAACAATCTGGATCGAATCGGAATGTACTGATTCTGAAAAGTGAGTTTAAATGCTCATCTGTCAGTCTGTTTCTAACACACATTTTTCGAAGTTTCATTGTTGAAAACACTTGTTCACACATGTAGGATGAAGCAAACAGCATAAATTTTACTCGTGGAGTATGAAAAGCTTTTAACTCAATTTCTATTTCAGTTCTCACAACTATACCCTGACTTATTTCCAATTTTTTATAAAAATTAGAGCAATGCGTTTCCTAGAATTCGAAGGGTCTCCTAGTCTTGTGCAAGTGCACGAATTTAATTGAATATCAGTGCAAAATCCAAATTTTCAAGTGGCTTAATTTGACTTGTCCGGTAGTTTCAGCGTTAAATGAATTGGTTTAAAATACTGAAATTGAAAATTTCTATACTATGAGTATAAAATCTACAGCAGGCCGCAGTTTTCCCATCACTGGGTTAAGGTAAGCAACAGGAATATATTTTCATCGAAGAGCGTCAGTGGTGCCGAGCATCCATTTTTCATCGAAATACGATATCGATCCAGCTTGAATCATTCACGCGGATCGGCGAGATGACCGGACACGCGCGTGTCGTGCCTCTGCACCGAAAATGATCTCCCGCGACGTTATTTCTGGATGAAAGGGAGATCGATTGCGCAATTCGTCGACGTACGACCGTCTCGAGTTCCGATGATTTGCGTGTCTCGATCGTATTTCTTCGATCGCGATGCAGAAGAAAGAAGGCACGCGCGATCGTCACTCTCCGCTGGGGCTGACCTTGATATTGCAAGAAAAATCCCCGGGCCGTGTAGAGCCTCTTCGAGGCGACAAGGTCGAGCGTGACCACGTTCGAATCCGAGAGGATCTTGAGACCTGCCGCGGTACCGCAATACTCAAGCAGCGTTCTTCCTCTTTCGCGCACTCTGACGACGTCCACGCAGCTACCGTCCACTTCCGGTCCTGAAAATCAAACAATTTTTTAATTGATAGATGAATCTAAAAAATTGAATTGTAATATTTTTAATATTTGTTCAACGTTTAACACTAGGTTTACGGAACCCGTCAATTTGATGAATATTGAATTTTTTAAACATTATTTAGTAGTAGTTTAAGTCGATCGTGCAATTACGCAAATACGCATTGCAATACGCTGGTTTTGAAGTTACAATTCTCTAGGAACAATAGAATAAAGTATAGAATAAATGTCCGTAAATCTAGTGTTAATATTCTTTAGATACTGAATAATCATTAAAAGCTGAATACAATGATAGTATCGTGAATTTCTCAATAAAGAAATTGAATATGAAATTAATATCAATGAGTTCATTCATTAAACTAAAGTTTTCATAATTATTGATGTTTTAAATAACATTACTTTCTTCACCTATCGTGTCTTTTACAGTACTAATTAAAGATTATTTTCATGTACCTTGTCATTGATAATTAATTAAAAACCAAAAAGAATGTTATTTATTGATCGCGGAAGAATAATCTTTAATTTGAACTCAAAAGAATGGGTTACATTTATTTTGAGAGTTTCATTCCCTAATCAAATTCATTTAAACCAAATATTAATTTTTACCCCGAACTAGGGAAGATCGCACATGATTTCCCGTAGAAATCTTTCAACAGTTTGACATTAAAAGTCCTGGAAAGTGTAATATTCAATCACACAAAACAGCATAAAATCTTTTCTGCTAATGAAACGCGTTACGGAACGCATCATTTCACGTGTTACACGAATCGTTCGAAGCGGCCAGAAGTTTGAAACCTCGAATGGAACAAGGCCGTGGTCGACCGAGGCAATTCATCTTCTTTAGAGGCCAGCTCTGGCGCTCATGATTTTTAAATCGATTCCCCTCAGGATCCACTCGGCTTAATTACCGGAGGTTACAGGAGGAGTAGCAACGGGGGTGAGCGCACGTCGATCGATACTTACCCCGTATATCTAGGTCGTGGAAAGTGAGGACGATCCTGTGGCCAGGAGCGGACCTGAAGGTCCATCCGCATGTATTCTCGCCGAGGTAGTAAAGCGGATAACCGGGTGAGTTCACGAAACCACCCTCGCCCTGCGTCACCTTCAGATCCTCGTTGCAATATTTTCTGACGGAACTCTCTGAAACGGCCAAAGAAGAAGAGTGAACTCGGTATTCGTAATTTTAGTATAAATTATAATCGATCGCCATTTCATCGTTGCGAAACGTTGACCATAATTTCATTTTCTTACGTTCCTTTCTTGATTCTCTTATCTTTCTTGTATTTATTTATTAATTTATTCGCTTCGAGTTACGCTTTTGCGAGTGACTACTCTCCAAACAAGCCAATTCTAACGCGTCGACGAGAAGTTTCATTTTATTTATAATACTTACTCTTTCATAACAAAGTTAAGACAATATTAAAACTAATGATGTAAAATTTCATGTCACACTACCCATACCACACTACTATATATTACTTGTGTTCCTAAACATTCCCATTCAACATCAATCTCCCAATTATCCTCAATTAATTCGTAAGCTCCAGTTGCCCCGACTGCAGCACTCAAATCGTTAAAAATAAAAGAAACACAACGAAGAACAAACAACCCTCAAGAAAACGAATGCACGAGGGCGTCACGCGAGCATAAATAAATTCTTGTTTCGCGATCCGGTTACAGTCTCCCGAGAGGAATGGCAAACGAAATTTCCACCCCGTCCGAATGGGTGAATTATCGTCGCTCGGAGAAGTAAGGGGATGAAGGGACAGAGAAAGGGAAAGAAAAAAAAAGAAAACGAGAGTATAAATTATCACCGGGCACGGGAAAATCCTATTTTCCACGCTTCGATTCGGCCCGATTGAATTACCGCCCCCGTGCGCGTCCCCGGGGGTGTATTGTTCGTCGGAGGACGACACCGAGGACGGCATAAGGACGCGCGACCCGACATCTGCATCCGTTTCGGTCCATTTGTCGATTTCAAGTGTGACTACGGCCGACGTTGCGCTGTGTCGGTCGCTCGACGAGGGTGTCCTTGCTCCAGTTTCCATTCGGGGATGAAACACGGAGCGCAGCTACACCAGGAAGGAGGGCTGACACCGCTCGCACGGGAGAGGGGCGGCTTTAGAGCGATTCCCCGCCGCTTTCCATGATGAGACCCTCGCTGTCTCTCGGCTACTCGTTCCGCGAAGGATTCATCTCTAGGGATGAGTTTCCGTTTGCGAACACGGAGTCGCTGGGAAATTGTAATTGTTACCGTTGCCAGGTCCTTTTCGGCAAATTCTGTGCCGTAATTCGTTAGGGATTAGTTTTCATCAGTTTTATTCGACCCTCCTATGTCACGAAGTGAAAACATCAGTTTCAAATATTTTTTGAACTTAAATGTCTTCGTTTAAATTCTTTATAGATTGTTTTACTACCTAAGACTCTCTCTGAGGTATTTGTATCTTTTGTTTCAGTCCTTGAGTTGATTCTAATTTTTAATTCTGAGGATTTTGTTATTACATTTTACTTAGTATTGTTTGATGTTGCTGTGATATATTGTTCATTCAATGGATGGTTAAGGACGTTATTACCGAGTTTAGAATGCGATATTGATCTTTAGTTATTTATTTTTGTTAAGATGATTATTCAAGCTGCGGAATTTGTATTTAGACGATATTTTTCCCTTGGGAATTCTGTCGAAATTATGGTAGCATTAGAGAGCTTGGATTCCAAAGCGTTTAAGTATTTTCCCCTGCGAAAGTTCGCTCTTTTCACACGTTTTGCATTCAGATAGTTTCCCGCCCCTTATGATGCCGCGGTGCGCGCCATTGCATAGAAATAAGGGATCAACGCGTCCTTTAAGGATCTTTTCCGTCTGTTGTTACAAAACACGTTGTCGTTTTCCAAAAGAGTTCGCCGCCTTTGTAGAGCTTTCCGTGGAGCATCTAATCCTCTGGGATTTCAAACTGCAACTATCCGAAAATCACATTCCTAGCTCCTAACCATCGTTCTCGACTTAATAAATACTGTTGTATAACAAATAAAACTCTCCAAAATTATCAAAACGTAATCAAATGTAAAAAACCATTTCACCTTTTTAGTTTATACTGAATCGAAATATTTCTTCCTATTTCCTTCAAGTTTCTTTAAACAAATATCTGCAATCTCCATTGATTAAAAGTTGTTTTGAAAATGTTGCTGGTAATAAAACTTTTGAACCGTGTTGTTAGAAGTATAGTGCCGAACACTGGATGTTGAAGGCGGTAAACTGGTAGGTATCGGAAAAAGTTCATGTCGTTTTCTTATTAGGAATTAACCTGGCTCCTATTTCAATTAGTATTTCACTAAATCAATAATCAAAATTAGTATTAGCAGCAAGTTATGTTTATGCTATGGGCATCAAATAATATAAAATCAATGTACAAAAACGTTCTCTGCCCTTTAAGTTTGATTCAAGAATCCGCACGGACTTTTTCCGGTACCTAATAGTATGGAATTGTTTCGAAACCAAGAGAAATTGATTTTAGCGGTAGTCAGGAGCGTGGACAATGTTTTTCAAGATAACGATCAGGAAACGTGTCACACGTGTCGTCCCGTGCATTCACCGCGTCCGATTGAGACGAGCTGATATTTATTTTTACCTATCTAGATCGCAGATTATCGATTGAACACGACTGGAAATCCGCTATTCCGCGTGGAGGAAGTATCGTGCGTGTGCGAGGCCGATTAAAGCGCGCATGCTTCCTGTTTCTCACGCGATTTTCGATTACTTCTCACCAACACAGAAAAATCAATCGAACCATTGTCTTTCTCATTCAAACATTATCTTCCTACAATTTCAAACTGTAGGAGACTTTCGTAAAACGTGTCCCACCCTTTTAAAAATTAGAATTTACTTCGATTTACCTGGAATGCAGGCGTATTTCAGTCGCAGAGCGGCAGGGTTCCAATAGGCAGCGCCCGGATGATCGGTAACGAAGTGGTATGGACAATGCTTCTGTCCAGAACATCTGAAACGCAAAAAGTAAACCTTGCAGGTTTTAATTGAACAAACGAATTCGTATAATAATTCCTCGGGGTCCATTAAGTATTCAGAGTAACCGAAAAACTGTAAATTTGCAAGAACCTTCCTAAGGTTAGCTAATTCTAGTATAAATCACTAACAAACTTATAAAAGCAAATCGTGGTAAACGAAAGGAGCATGTTTGACGAAACAGAAACGACGCTTCAACTTAACTACTCCAAGCTTCAATTTCTGTCGTTAATTACAGCACTGTTCACTTAACACGATTGCCACGGTGATCATAAATGACCTTTCAAATTCCTTGAGCACAGGTACAAGAAGAAACCTGATATCGAATCAAAATATTTAGTAACAAGAGTAACTAAGGAACAGTGTAACGTGAGAACTATGATACGAAATCATTAATAATTCATTCTAATACCATTTGCCTTTGTTATGAAAGAACAAGTAACATTATACGGAACGCTAAAAATTCCTCTAGCGGTCAACGTGTTAACCAGTTAACTGCGTTTGGCGAGTACACATGTTATCTTAAAGCTTGAGATGATACTAATTCTTTCAACGATGAATTCTTCATTTTTCCACATGAACATGTAATTCTTTTCTGTTTTGTATTGGGTTTGCATTCAAATATACCGTAGGTGCATTTGTCCTGCGTTTGACGAGAATGTACTTCATTTTTTTATTTTTGCGCGCGCAAAACAAAAGATCATTGAAACTAAATTCTAGTGTTAACAGGTTAAGTGCAAAACAGAAGATAGGATAAATCTATAGAATCGTGCATTAAAAAGAGGACTCCGTTCGCGAGCGGATTCGCGTACTTCGCGTGGCAGGGTAGAGATTGTATCGATTGCTCGCTCCGGATTCGTCAATTAAATACGCGACGCCGATCATTAAAGCGTCTACCGGGTGTTGAAAGCGCGAGTGCCCTGCGCGCAAGGGCGACGCCGAAATCGGGATTGTTTTCGAATCGTGATGATTGCTGCATGGAGATCGAAAGTGTACCGGCTGGTGTCGAGGCAGGGTAGGGACAATGGCCGAGGGACGATTTTCACCCCTCTCGCCGGGACACGGCCAAGTGTTTCCCCTCTCTTGACGATGTTATCGGTCCGCAGCCTCCATGCCGGAAATAAAGGGGAAATAACGTTTCGCGCACCACCCACGCGAAAAGAATTCCTTTGAATTTTTTTGTCGAGGAGCCTGCCGGCTGCCTTTGGCCCGTGACTCTTTCATTCGAGCCATTTTTCCCGACGTACGGACAAACAAGGTTGTATAAACGACTCCCGCAACTGATCGCCAGATGGTTTTCCTCTTATCTTTTCGTACAAATTTCGAAAACGCGTTTGTTACGATTTTGATTATTTTATACTTTAGACCGCTCATTAGTGAACTTTATCGAACAGACATTTAGGAAGGTTTCTTTCCAGAAACTGTGAAAGCAGAAATCCAAGATGAGTAATTTTCAGCGGTCAGTTTTAGTGTTAACATGCACGCTATAGTCTCCATTACGCGACCATTTATAATATTAAATATTTTAGTGAACAATCTTGGAAAAACTACCCTGAGATTCACCACACGCGAATTTAGCTGTAAGAAAGAAAATAAATCATCTAAGAAATCTTATGGTATAACATTTTCTCATTTTTACCAAGGGTACTGTACATAATTTAGTTTTTCTATTAAAAGAACTGGTAGAAGTTTAACACGAGAACTAGTTTCCTTGTTTCACAATTATTCATACTTTAACACTAGATTTACGGAATCAGTCAATTTGACGAATATTGAGTTCTTTAAACATTATTTAATAATAGTTTAAATCGATTTTGATTCGTGCAATTATGTGAATACGTATTGCAATATTATGGTTTTGAAGCTGTAATTCTCGTGATTTATATAGACGAACATTTAGTTTTCTAGGAACAATAGAACAAAGTGTAGAATAAACACCCGTAAATCTAGCGTTAAAAGCATTGAATATTCGAAATGATTTCGAAAGTAAATAGTTCCTGAAGAAACTGAAAATAATCTATTGTTACTATTTTTATAGCGATTATACACCAATCATATTAAATGCTCGGTGGTTCTAGTGTTAAGGCAGTCTCGTCTAGAAGGAGTTAATAGGAAATTGTAGATCGTTAAAGGTTAATAATTTTGCACAGGAAGAGGGAACGGTACACGAATTCGTCGTTCCGCTGCCAAGACACTCGGCGAACTCGATCCCGAAAGGGTGGCCGGGGGGAGGGAACGGCCGGCTCCCTCCGGGATCGCGGCTGCAACCCCTTATTTGCAAAGTTCATCGAGCTGTGCTCCTCGCGCGCGATGCACTCCCTCGGAAACGATTTCTCCTTCGACGGGCATCGAACGTCGCTCAAAAGGCAATTAAAACTTCGCGCACGCTTTGCTGGCACACATCAAACGACGATTTTGCGTGTTCGAGATTTCTTTCCTTGTCGGTCGTGGGTTCCGCGTCGCACAAAGGACTCGATCCCGGCCGTGAATGTTCGCTGGCCCAGTGAAAAAAACGTCGAGTGGCGATTCCTCGCGAGAGACGGGAGGAGAAGCAAGGGGTGTCGGCTAATTCCGGGGGATTGCTTTCGGCCGCGGTTCCATTCGACGTTGATCCCTCTCCTCTAACCATCCCCGATGCATTTTTCGAGCGGCGACATTCATCGCTGACAACACATCGGATTCGATGTGTCGTTCATCGGAAAATTGAGAAAGTTCAGACTCGCTAGGCTCGCTGAACGCGTCAATTTAATGTATATTGAATTTTCTAACACTAGACTTATGGACATTTATTTATAGTTCGTTCTATCGTTTCTAGAAAAATTGATGTTTGTTCATTTAGATCTTGGAAATTAGAGGTTTGGGAGTAGATAACTAAGACATATATTTGCGCAACTGCATCACTCAAGATCAACCTAAACATTTGTGAAATAATGTTTATGAAATTCAACATGAGTGAAATTGACTTGTTCCGTACATCTAGTGTTAAAGATCATGTAAATATTTACGTCGATTTTGATTGATGTAGTTACATGAATATGTATCCACATTGCCTGTTTTTAAACCTCTAGTTTTCAAGATCTGAATGAACGAACATGAATTTTTCTTGGGACAATGGAATAAACTGTGTCATAAGTATCTGTAAATCTAGTGTTAATTAAAATTTGTTCGAAGTATGCTCTTTAACAAGCTAGAAATGATAGATTGATATATAACAGTATTGCTTTTGTATCGGCGACCCTGTATTTTTTATTCACCCTTTACACTCGACAATATTTGTCACTATAAATATTGAATATTCTCTGACGGAATGTTGATGATAGTTTTGACAAGTAACATAAAGAAGCATTATAGACGAGACTATTGTATTTCAATGTTCCACGTGTTGATCGATAAAAGTCGTCTCTCGAGTGCAAGAGGTTAATTATTTTCATAATTGTATTGAATTTCCGTGTTAATTATCGTTAAGCGTGTAAACTGTTTTAGTTTATGTTAAAACGTTCATCGTAGACTTTGTAATATGGACATTTGTTAAACAACAGGATTTTTATTCTTGGGAATTGATTAACTTAAATTTAATTTAAATGATAGTCGTCGAACTGCTAATGGACATACGAGAAAAGTTTGAAATTAGGATCGGAGAAAATGTAAATTTGCAGTTGAAATCTTGAACTTTGAACCAACTTCTCGAGAAGTTGCTGTTATTATTATTTTGAGCGGCACGAGTGCTCTCGGTGGAGTAATTTTTATCTGTTAAGCGCTGTCGTTCGACGTATCGATTTGCGATTAGATGTGAATCAGGTCGTAAAAAGCAACATTTATTTCGACTGCGCACATTCGCACGGCTGAGAACGGTTTTCTAGTCCTGTGGTCTACGCGCCGGTAACCGTATATTCATTACGCACACCTTTCCTTGCGGATGCTTAGTGGGTGACTCAAATTACCAGCGGCAAGTCGTTATTGTGTCGAAATGCGACGAAAACCGAGCGAAGCGTACCCATGGGAATCCTCAAAACTTCGGAGAACACTATCTCGAACATTCGACCAACTTACTAACAGGTATTACCTACTCTAAACACGATAGTGCCCAAACTTTCTCCATCCCCAAGATTCTTCCCTTTCCACAACCGGTTTAAAGCAATAATAAAATAAATCTATAAATTTTAAATTGTAATATCATGGTACAAGGAATGGCTGATTTCAACGTTGCTTCTTCAATAAAATATAACACAAATCTTCAACTACAAATACTTCAATAAAATCTACAAATTTAAAAGTATCAGATCATAGCACAAGTAAAGCCTAATTTCAACATTCTTACCCCAATAAAACATTAAACATAAACATAAAACTACAAACATCTCAATAAAACGTATAAATTCAGGAAATCTACAAGTATCCAAAACTCTCAACAAAGGGAGCCTTCCACATCGAACCTTCAAGTACCAAGGAAAAAGAATACTATATTCTAACCTTTTGTTATCCCTATAACTCAATTACTCTATTTCCCATTCCAAACACGAAAATCTGACGTCACCAGAACGACGACACTCCTCCTCAAAGGGTGAAAAGGTGGAAGGCTTACCTCCTATTCACCGATTCCCGGATATCCACCGCGCGCACCCCTTCCTGCTCGGGGTCCTCGACGTAATTCCCCTTGAGCCTCTTGTTCTTCAGCTCCGCGCTACCTCTCTTCAAGGACATCCCCTTCGGCAGCAGCTTCTGCGTGTCACGTCCGCAGATATGAGTGAGGTTCGGCAGGTAATCCGCTTCGACGATGAATATGAACGCTTTCAGGGACCTGCAGGTGAGCCGGACGACGCCGTGCGAGCAGTGCTCCTCTTGGATCAGCTCCATATAGCCGCCTGGCAGCCGGACACTCTTCAGGACCTTGGTGAACGAAGGCTGGGTGCTCGCGAAGCCTGTCGAGCACCTCGTAATCGCCAGCAGTAGCAGTAGCAGCAGGCTCGTCAGGGTCGTTGCTCCTGGCGCCATGGTCGTTGATCATCACAGAGATCGGAGGGAGTCCTCTCGAGATCGGTCTTAAAATTAGCTTCCCCCTCGAGATCGAGCCGGAGAAGCTCAAGTGCGCGCCGATACCGCGGTCACCAGCTTCCTTCCTGTCGGCGGCCACCGCTCTGCTTCTATGCAGGCTCTGTTGGTTCTCCGCGGTCCACTCGGACCCTTGAGGACCACTTCGCGGGACCAGGTCGTCGTCCCTGCTCCCTGGTTTCTTCAAGAACGCCGAGTGACGCGGAAAACTTTTCTGTGAAGTTGATGGAATTCTTTTTCATTTCTTCTACTTCTTTCTATTTGTTCAATCGTTTGTTTTATAATAAGATTTGTACCGTACATTTGTTATTTGTTGGGAGACACCTGGCATTCGGGGATTTGTGAAATGCCGTAGAATTGTTTATGTCGACACGTTTAACGTTCTAAAAGGGAAACTCGGAAGGATCGCGATTTGGTTTCGCTTAAATGGTAGGGAGCTTTTAAAAGTAAGGATGTAGTAAATAACACGTACCAACTATAAATTAAATAATGATGGAACATGAACAATTACGACAGTAAGTATTCTGTTATTCACGAAACCCCGCATCCGTTTCCGACACAATCGTTTTATATTTACAAATCCTAGACAGGAAACCTTACGAAACTGTTATCACAGAAAATGAAAGCAAATCTACAAAACCATCATCTGTTGCACATTCCTCTGAAAGAGTTACACGAGCCACCATGGAACACTTCATCTTTCTCACGACCCTGATTCATGACATCAAAAAAAAAAGAGGAGAAAAAAGATAACATAAGA